CCCCAAAACCCCAAAACCCCAAAACCCCAAAACCCCATTTAAATGAAATTTAATAGAAAATAATAAATTATACATTAGTACTTATTTATGTGAACCACTTTCTTCGGATACTTTGTTAAGACCGGAAAATCTAAGGATGGAGTTATGAAGCTCCTTGTAGCCTTCAATAGAGAAGAGTATATTGACAGAGAGGCTGAAGTGTAAGCACAAGTTGTTGACCTTGTAGAGTTGAGAGATATGGTGATATTATATGCGGCAAAGACAAAAAGACTGGCAATTCCTGGATGGCCTACAACACTAGGACTAAAAGAATCGCAATCCTTACTAATTACAGAGATAAGAGGGATATTAAGAGCTCAAAGGGTAAAGAGAAAACTGATGACGTAAAACCTAAAAAGCATCTCTTCAGAGGCGCCCTTGTTATGGATTGGGTGTCAACTGACATTAACAAGGAGGATTATTCAGATAAAATCTTTGAAAACCTAAATGAGTACAAAGGATTTAACCTCGTTTATGGGCAAGTTGATGAAGAATCAACCCAAGACAGTCTTAGCCTAGTTATAGAAGACGATTGCGAAAGCAGCTTTCTATACCATATTAGTAACTTTAACTCGAGTAAGCTAACAGAATCTAAGATTTTAGAAATTTTAGAAACAATGAAGCCTCTTTATCTCAAGCCAGGAGTGATCTATGGGATGTCGAATGGTAATATATCAGAGTGGCCAAAAGTTCATCTGGGCACAAAGCTGATTTCTGAAAGTTTAGAAAAATTTCATTATTTTTCTACTACTTCAAAAATATCTCATTCATCAAACGGTGAACGAGTCGATGGGACTAAAGTAAGCACGTTAAAGGATTTTGATAGTCTTTACAAATACAGTAAATATTGCATCGATGAAGTCATGTCCAATACTCAAAAGCCAAGTCTTTGGAGCGTCCCCAAAACCGATTGCTCCTTTCTCTTGGAGTGGAGTCTAAGTTCTATATTTGTTAAAGGTAAATATGGGAGAAAAATCTGAACGGTATCGACTCAAGTCTTGCTTATTGACGAATCAGATCAAGGAGTATTCAGAGAAAGATTTTATGAATTTAACCACAGTGCTCTAAAATCTTTCCTTTGATGTTCCACCACTGAATTCTCTGATAAAACCCTAACATTCTAAACCTCAGCAAGCCTGAAATGCAATAATGTTAAAATTCCTTAACCGTATCAATATAACTCAACAAGAGAGTCAATATAACTAAAATTAAGAGGGGTTTTGGGGTTTTGGGGTTTTGGGGTTTTGGGG